TGCGACGTGCGTATTATCTATTATGATTCAAAACTTTTGTCATTAATGCATTATTTAAAATTACTTATTTAATTTCTGTAAAAAATTCCCAATTTGGTGTTATTTAATAAATAGGTACACGGGGGATTAAAGGCGTAGTGGAGATTGTTATTTTATATATAAGTTGTACCGCTTATTAGTTATTTCCTGGCTTACGTTAGTCAATTTTCAAATAAAAAGGTACAATATACTCCTATAGTAATTTTATAACCGTTTATCATATTTTTCACTGGTTATTTTATTTATATTTTTGTAACTTATGATAGAGGCGAAGATTTTGTAGCTATAGTCTCCCACCAGCCTGCTCTTTTGTAATACCTTGATATTTATCCGGGGTATATCGTTATATATGTATTAGGTATATAAAGTATTAGGTTTTTATTATTGTAAGAATAATATTTGATTTCATACATAATAATATAATATAGTGAGACATACATATACAAATAAGAATGTATTTGTACAAATAGAGCTGCTGGTGGTTTCGGGTTGACTAGAATAAAAAAAGTTTGTTTATATAACGTGGGGGGGGGGGGGTGATCTCGTGCTCAACCTGAAACCGGCAGCTGCAGCACTACAGTCGCGCACGCTTATGTGTGTGTCTTATTATATATAATAATAATATCGTCTATGCCTATAATATTACGACGCGCGTACGTGTTCTTATACACCTTTCCGACTTGCGCGTTAGTAGTGTATTCAAACTCGGGGCCCTGTGCTGCAGGCGGCGGTGAAGTGGATGTCGTCCAGATTCAACGGTCGACTGTACAACGGAGGCACATGGCCGTGAATCTTGAACGCATGTGTGTGTGTGTGTGTGTGTGTGTGTGTGTGTGTGTGTGTGTGTGTGTGTATATATTCGTTCACAGTAAGTCGGTTGCGGTGGCGGTGGCACGGGCACAATGGCAGGAAGTGCACCCGGTTATCAAAATTCAAAACGCGGTGGTCGTCGTCGGCGGCGGCAAACGTACTTACAGATAGATGATATACGACTTCTTTTTTCTCCATATTTATTTGTTATTATTCTTTCTCTCTCTCTTTCTCACTCGGAGGATTTGAATATACGCATCATATAGGTACACCAGGTATAACGTGTGTGTGGCCTACGGTATAGCGCGGTTTCGGCCAATGCTATTCGCTCATTGTTTGTATAATACAATATTATTGTTGTGTGTATATGGTTTCGTGATGCGAAAACCCGACGGACCGAACGGAAACGACTTACCGCCACCGCCGATACATCTTTCCGGACAACGCCGCCACCGAGATAGGGTCGTTTACCCGGAGTCGTAGCGGGGGGAAAAAAAACGTTTCCTCACGTCGGATGTTGTTTTACATTTTTTTTTATTGTTATTCCTTATCCTGTACGTATACAGATGGACGTACAAGACAACCGCGTACTATAATATTATAAAATGATGTATTGGCGTACGACTGTGGCGGGACCAATTAGTCTTTTGGAGCCCTATGTGTCTTACAAAATGTGGAACCCTAAATTATAAACTCACGTTTTTATAGTGTACGATAAGACCAAAAGCGGGACTGCGCACGTGAGCACTGTATTTTTTTTTATTGAAATTGTTTTAATCGTATTTCTTTACGGTTTACGACCATATCGTTTGTTTCATAGCTTTTAAAATAATAATAATACTTTATAATAAAACGTAATAAAACGAAAATAATATATTTTATAATATTATATACCTACCCTATGATTTTGTAGCTCCCCCGAGAAACGAAGTCTGCAGTGATGGGTAAATAGTTTGTATACGGTGTTATAATATAATAGGGCCGAGCAGTAAACTAGAGATTAAATTATTTAATTTTATAGTGGCTTATTTTCGTTTATGATTTAGTGCCCAATAGTTGCGTCGTAAGTTCACAATAATAATGCGAGTCTATATAATATTATAATACACACCGCGACCGTTTATAGTATTTTTATGTATTGGTTAATAACTGCAGCTGATAAACATGTCATGTACCGTTTATTCCGGACACCAACTTAAGTTTAACACACGTAAAACCTTTTTTATAATCATATCTACATAATATAAGACTTCCATTAATCACATTGATGAGTGGCTTAGTTGTTGGTCATTAAAACGTCGAGTATATACATGCACCCGAACTCGACTTGAGCTTGTCAATCACGAGACGTTTTCTTTTATAGACCTTCGCGGTGACAAAATGTCAATAATAAACGAACGCATGCACGCACAGTAAAAGACCTTTGGCGAATTGTCAAAAGACCACAGGGAGTATTAAAATAAACGCGGGAGCTCTTTGTTTTTGACTGACAGCCCAAGCCCGGAGAAAAGGTGTTTTTAGTCGACATACGCCACATGTATAGTGTAATCGTGGCAAGGACGACTATTAAATCATTATAGAAAACTAAAAACAAAGATAAATAAACGATTGTTGAGGGAACTGATTGATAAGCCATTTAAAGTAATACTTTATCAATCACATTATTGGATTTCAAAAAATGTTTTGTCACGAAAAAATTAATAAAAATAATATTTTTGAGCAGTACCTATACTATTATAATAACGACGCCTTTTGCAATGATCGGAGGCTCAATACATAAAAAAAAAAAAAACAATTATTCGAGTTTGTAATTATACATTTTTAAGGACTTCACAAAAATTATTATGTCAACAGCATATTATGTTATTATGTTTTCGTATTAAGAGTATAATATTACCATTATTATTATAACGATACTTGGAAAACCCCTAGTACGGTAAACAATAAATAGTTCCTTTATGTAATTTCCATTAGGTGCCTAAACTAAAAAAAACGTTATGTAATTATGTTTGGTTTTTTTTAAAACTATTATTACAAAATAGAAAAACTAAAAACGAGAATGCAATAATTCAATTTTTTCTTTCAAAACGTGTCTGTTCTGTACCATTGCTTTTTTAGTTTTCAATTTGTGTACACGCGTGTACAAATGAAACGGATATGACCGAAAAAAATGTTAAAGAAATCGTGGGCGACACGATCCAGTCGATTTGCACGGTTTCCTTGATCTAACGAGACTCTTCCGTTTAGTTTCTTTGACACACGCACATACGACATACCTACACACACAGATGACGACGAGCATACACACAATTTACATATACACACACACTTACAAAAAACATAATAATAGAAATATATTTTGTTTTTAAACGAAAAAATCTTTTATGAAAATGATTTTCTAAATAGGTCAATAAACGTTTATCAAAATATATAATTATACTAATATTATACTACATAATATATGAATAGAATTTATATAGATATATCATATATGGACGGCTTTAAAATTATAACATATTATCTTACGTTTTTTGTTTGTTAGGTATATGTGTGAAATAAAATAAAATAAACAAGTTAGGAAAGTTATTACTCTGTGAGCGTGTTAAATTCCCGTTTTCTAAACATATTATATTCGACAATTATATACCTACAATAAGTAATTACTACTAATTAGGTATAAATATCAACAATCGTAAATTCGTAACTATCTTGGTAGGTACTTCAGAAAACACAAAACGAATGGACACAACGGAGGTGTTCAGAAACCACGGACTAAGATTCTCAGCAATAATCTTAATGCAATATAATATTTATTATTATTATGTTTTTTTAATCCTTTATAAAAATATACAAACTAACACAAAATCGACTGCAGCAGTTGCAGAGCTATACGAAGGTATAATGATTAATGAGTAATAATATTATATAATATTATTCCATACCGTTTCGTAATAATCGTCAGGGGTCGTGTCTTCCAAAACAGGTTTTGGAATGTTGATACACCCTAAAAAAAATCATATATAAGACTATTTTGCTTAGTGTTGTTGGCCGTTCGCTACGGAATTTAAAGTAATATCAAATAGGTATGCTAGAACTTAACAGTTAAAATTCTACCCTTGGTTTGTTCGAGAAATACGGTGTGGTCAGGATTTCATGTCTTGTTAGCTAAACCACTATTTCGTTGTACGCTATGTTATTATACCCATCAGTAAAGATTTATGTCCTTAATGTTTTTTTATGTATACAACGATTATAATTTACAAAAATACATTAACCATGCAATAAAAATAGAATACACGTAATAATTAACTACACATAATAATATAAAATCTAGGGTTAAAAAAGGGTAGTAAATACACGAGAGTGTACCTATAATAAAAACTAAGAGGTATACGCCTACATTCGAAAAGTATATTATATTTAATGTTTATTTATATCAGTTATTCGGTATAAGACATAAGTCTTTCAACAATTTATTGATATTGAATACATATTAATATATGTATATTATTATTAGACAATTATATTATATTTATATTATGTAGTGAAATACGAATTTTATAGCTTTACAATTATTACTATTATATTATATAAAACAAATAAAAATCATAAAAAAAGCACCACAACAAGATTTTTCTGTTTTAGCATAAAACTTCATTATTGATCAATTTAATTCACCAATATGTTGACGAGTTCATGATATAATAATAGTTTAAAAAGTATTAGAAACAAATCTTGACTAAAATAAAAATAAATATCATGACTACTAATTTAAAAAGGTTAATTTTAATTTTTGAAGGCTATTGTAGTCTAAAAAACTGAATAAATGCCACTATTAATCGAAAAAAATGTAAAATAAGATTTCATTCAATGTTATATTACTTAATATATGGAATATTATGAATAAATTACTTCAATTATCTTCGTATTAAGCTAAATTTAATAAATAAACAATATTATATCGTCTTTGACTGTTTGGCATCTAGACCCTCGATACCTACTGAAATAATAAATAATAATGATAACGGTAGAAGCAGTTATTATTATTGTTTAATGTTTATTTATTTTTAAAACAATATTGTCGTGTATTGTCAGTATTCCTGGTTTGACGTGTCCCTTGTATACTATTCAAGTCTCTCATTAACTGGACTATGGCTACTTATGAATCATACAGACACATTGAATTGGACAATATAGGATGTGGAAAAAAAAAAGTCTTGAAACCATCAGGTGGTGGAAGTAGTGACATATTTGGAATGACATCATGTGATGAAGTTAATACACATAAACGTGGTACAAATCAGAAGAATCTCCAAAGCTCTATAATTTTGGGTGGTCAAACACCAAAACATAGTAATGGTACAGTTGCAGCCAACGGAAACTCTGATAAACCTGATGGTAATCCAGTGACTGGGGAAGGCTATGAAGCTCCTAAGGTAACAGCTACACCAGCTCAGCATGTTTCTGCTCAATCAGAATCAGCTCCAGAACAAAAGAAGGCAAACCGTGTGCCACCAGGTGGATACAGTTCCAGGTTATGGTAATTGCTGAACCAGGAAGACCAACAAAATTTTGTCACAATTTATACATAGCTTTGTATTTCTATGATATATTGATGACCCTTGATCACATTTCATCAATAAAAAATGTATTTATGGTATATATATAGCTATATCATATACCTAGCCAATGAGAAAAATGTAAAAACGAAAACAAGTCACTTTGTAGATTATGTCGAAGAAAATGTCTAGTTTATGGAAAATCTATTTCAATTTTAATTAATATAACAATCATTATTTGATATAATTTTTATGGGACAAATTAACGAAAAATGTGTGATAAGTCAAATTGTTGGTATATTAGGTATATAGTTGTACATTTGTAGTAACCACTAAGCACATATTATTTCGACTTTGTCCTCGGACGACTTTCTGTAGCGCATTCATAAAAATAGCTGGCTACCGAATATGTCGGTGCAGAATGCAGACGTGTGATGGATAAAGACACGTGACTTGGTATATATAGGTACCTATACATAATATAATATATAGCTGTAACATGGTCGAGATGATAACCATCTCGGGTGTAACGCGATTATATGTGGGGGAGATGTGGCAGCAATACTCGGTGGTATAAAAAATATAAATACAAACGGATTCGTACAAATAATATAATATAGCTGTACATAATATAATACATCATTATTCGTGTACCTAGCTATACAGAACATACTAATATTATATTACTGTAGGGTGGATTTTCGGTGTGGAAGGAAACACACCTAATATTCAATTAATACCTAGGCTTCAATAATATTGTTAAAAAACCGATAAACCAGATGAGAGGAAAAATATTATACTCGCGCCGACCCTCCCCCTTACACTCTCAAGACTGTACCATGGTACATGTGTCTAATTAAAAACCGTCAGGCATCGCGTACAAAATCATATATACATACTATATACAGGGTGTAACAGAAAGACCTGACAAATGAAAATAAAATGTATACTAGTCAAACGTATGAAAAAAATTATGAAAATTATATGGATAATAAATTATAATTTAAGATTTAATAATGTCTGAAAATTCCCGAAATGAATATTTTGAAAATGTTATTACGCTTAGAATTAATTTACTACGAAAAATGATTGATATTTTAAAAAATTGCAAAAAATAAACTACTCGACTTAAATAAACATTTTAACTATTGACAGTTTTCTAAAAATTATATTTACAAATTGGCTATTTTTAATTTTTACAAAATTTTTTATACTTACTGCACTTGTAGCATAAGCGTTTATAAATTAAAATATATAAAATAAAAATGTATATATTATTATATATTGATTAGAGCAAAAGTTATTTCATTTGTCAGCTGATCATTCTGTTACACCTTGTATATTTTATAGCTTATTATAAGCCTCCGATATGTATATAACATTTCGTGTTAATTATAAAATTATATTATAATATATTGCAGCATAGTTGTATAATATGTAATGTGCAGTGGTGACGGGGGCTGAATATAGCTGAAAAACCTCACAGTGACGACTGTCACAAGTACACCTACAACTGTCATCTAGCTATATGTATATTATAATATATTTATGTACAGAGTGATTCACCGAGTTTGCACATCCCTTTTTTTTCTTCGATGATACAGTTATTCCAATTCTGATTTTTGGCATTTTTTTAAATAAACTAAGAGATCATATTTTTAAATTCTTGAATTTTGTTTGCACTAAGAGAGTACTGCGGTATACAAACTTCTGTTTTCAAATTTGAACCCCCCTTTTTACTGAAAATTATCTAGTCGACAATTTCTTTTGACAATTTTTATTCACCTATAATTTAAAGTCCATACGAGTAATTGTTCAGTTATTAAAATGTTTATACTTACGATAACAGTAATTAAAAATGGTTTTAAAAAATATAAAATAGATGTAATATTAGAATTTATTACTATACTGTCTTTGACCATTTTTAAAAATTATCGATTTTGATAGATTAATATTAATTACTATAATTTTCAAATCTTCATAGCATATTATTATCTTCCAAACCCATTATCATGGACCTATAATAATCCTTAGTACATAACTGTATGTACTAATAGTTAATACTATATTGTACTATTTCAATAATAAAGTTATTCAAAATCTAATTTTTCGTATTTTTAAATATACTTGAGACACAATTTTTTTTAATTCTTGATATTATTTGTACTATTTAAGGAGTGTCCTGTGGAGATACAAACTTCAGTTTTCCAAATGTTAACCCTATATCTTAAATTATTTAGTGGATAATTTTTCTGAAAATGTTAACGTAGATATCAGAGTCAAAATGCTCATGAATAATTGTTGAGTTATTCAATTTCAAGAATTGAAAATATGATCCTTCAATATATTTAAAAATTCAAAAATTAGATATAACTGCATTATCGAAGAAGGCAAGGGGGCGAGCATGCTTGGTGAATCACTCTGTATAATGTATACAACATATAATATAACATATGATTGATGTGCCTTATATGACAGTATGGACACAATATAGGTAAGTAGTTTTGTGCTTTTTATTTTATAGATTTTGTTTGATAGTTTGAGCAGTATTAACATTTTGATAATTCCCAATATTAATATTAAAAAAAGTCTGTGTAGGGACGTGTGCAGCCATAGCCCATAGACCATAAGCGTAGTCTAAAATGAGATTAAATAATAACTATTTTTTATACGAATAGCTGTCGGTTGATATAAACGTCTTTAAAAGAGAAGCTGGATTTCTTAAACACATATTTGTTTGTATTTTAAACTATACAGTTTTTCTATTAGATCCGATACTAGTTAACATTATTGGCAATAATAAAATGTATTCTGTTTTATAACGCCCAATATACAACCAACGCGTGACACGTAAGTATCGTAAAAGGGTTCGGCGCAGAGAGGGTTAAACTGAGAAAAAAACAGTGAAACACGTAATGGGAGTTGCAGGAATGACATATGCAGCTTAGATTTATATATATACAATAAATCGTACGATTTTCGAAACATCGTGTTCTTTGTGGTATTTACAATCATATTATTACTATTCAAACGTCATTATATAAATGTACAAAACTCACCCTTGTTAAGAAAATGTATATTCGAAGTCTCTAAAATCACTAAAACTTACATGATGACCAAGAAGCATACACAATACACATATTATGTATACAACCACTGTGCATGTATGTGCCTTATAAACACATACATGTAGCGTTATCGTTATTATGATGTCGAAGAGTATCTACTCAATAATGCATTAAAAAAGTTATATGTAGGTACCTTTTTGAAATCTTTAAATGCATTTGTCGTGTAACGATAAACGTAATTGTGTATTACTCGATATTATATAAATATATTATTATGATAATTTGATATCATCTTTGTGTACTCTTCCTGTAAGTACATACATCTACATAATAGCAATTATTATAATATACAATACTTACGTTGTGTTTTTTTTATATTTTTGTTACTACTGTTGTCTGTCTTAATAGTTTTAAAAGTATAAATACCACGAATTGCGTAACCTAAAACTAATATGTACCTAAGATTAAATATTTGAAGGAACTAATGAGTGTGTGTGTGTGATATAAGATATACCTAACATAATATAGGTGAATGGTAAATCTTAATGATTTCCTAGGAACATCGTACATGAATTCTGAAAAAAATCATATCACATATTATAAAAAAATAAGTAAGTATGAGTTTTAACTTTTAAGTTCCCCTAACATTAGGCTGCAAAATATATTGACTTGATTATTGAGCATCACCTGAGCATTGTATATTTATTTATTGTTTAAAAGTTGTTCTACGAAAATGTGATAAATTTGCAAAATAATCTTTTATGATAAATGTGGACACCTACGTAAAATAATACGGATTCGATATTGCAATAAACAATAATGTTGTTTTTCAAACCCATAAATCCTCGAACAGGGGAAATGATAACAAAGAAATTCAAAGAAATACATCGATCAAACGATCCGAGTTCCACCGGGTGGTATAAAAACAACACGATGGTCGGCTTATGTTTGTTCGCAAAATATAGCGAATATAGGGTTCGTTTATTATGGCACTTGTTACCTTGTGATTTCATCGAAATATAATATGCAGCACTGCCGATACAAAAACTTGTTGGTAAATTTTTTTATACGTTTTTAAAGTTTGATTACTCATAGTTCATTAACAATATTTTATATTAATTATATAATATTATAACTAGCTGATCCCGTGCACTTCGTTACCCGTTAAATGTACCAACTCTATATGACTCAAACATTGTTCAATGCGTTATTTAATATTCGGTGTATGATGTTCTAGATTTATCTTAACTTTTCTGTTGCCCGGAATAAAAATTCTGAATTGCAGCAGTACATTATCAGATAGGTAATTTACCTGCGGTAGATCGCGGACCTCGTGCTGTTTGTACGTAAGTGTATGAATTAACTCAAAAAGTACCAAAGTTATACCAAGTTTGACGTTTTTACTTAATTCCACCTACCTATAAATCCTAACCTAACACACCGTCATTCATTTATATATAAGATATATTTACAAAAAATAATAATACAAATCAACAAACATGCCCGATTAATCAATAGCAACCAATATAATGTAATACACAATAGAGTAAATAAAGACAAGGGTATCGAGTTCAAATCCCAGACATCAATAAATAGTTTTTGCAGTTTTTCTAATTATTCGGTTGACTTTTTAAAAATTTTCTTTCGTAAAAACCTTCACCTGGCAATTACGAACATCTTAAAAAAAAAAAACGCGTGTGTCTCAAGCGACCCTCATAAGATGTGAAAACATATATTATATGAGCTTAGAATTTGAAGGAAAAATTTGGAAATAAATCACAAGTCTGAAAATATTACCTCCATAGAAAATTCGCTCGGCAGGAATTCCGATCTTGACCTACCCTCAAGGTTGACGCCCAGTCTGACGTCATAATTAGTCTGTTAGTGGCAAAAGAATTTTCGGTGTTTTTCGAAAAA